AGAGATCTCAGTGCTCCCCCTAACAATGCCTTCATCTGCTTTTCTCTCTCCAGAAGGACGGCACCATCTTTACACAGGCATCATCCAGGGTCACCATCTACTTCCAGGACTGAGATGCCGGCCAGGTAAATCATGGCTGTGTTCACAGATAAGCGGTGAAACGCATCAGCAGAGTTCTCTATGCGTGGAAGCCTTCTTTTGCGCATTTCATTCACATTCCTGTAACAGGGAGTCCGTCTCTTTGTGCCTCCACTCTCCACGAGGACCAGAACGACGTCATCACGTTACGTCCAGCGCCATGCAAACAAGGCTAGATCAATGCTTTTTTTTTTTTTTTTTTTTTTTTTTTTAAATCTAATGCGTTACATTGTAGAGGAGAGATGTGGGGTCTTATTGACCGCAGATCTCTCCATAAAGGGGAACGGTCTCTAATTATTTCTATCACAAGGAAGGTTTGCATTCCTTGTGATAGGAATAAAAGTGATGAAAAAAAAAAAAAAAAGTAACAGTGTTAAAAAAAAAAAAAAAAAAAAAAAAAAAAAAAAAAAAAAAAAAAGGTATTTATTTTGTTACTTTTTTTTTTTTTTTACACTGTCCCTTTCATTTTTTTTTAATCACTTTTATTCCTATCACAAGGAATGCAAACATCCTTGTGTGATAGCAATAGAGACAGGTCCCCTTTATGGAGAGATTTGGGGTCAATAGGACCCCACATCTCTCCTCTACACTATAAAGCATTAGATATAAAAAAAAAAAAAAAAAAAAATGTATTTTGTTACAAGTGCCCCCGTGCTCGCACACAGTGGTGAATGCATACATAGGCCACGCCCACATATGTAAAAGGTGTTCAAACCACATATGAGGTATCGCCACGAACATCATAGCGATAGTAATAATTCTAGCACAAGACCTTCTATGTAACTTTAAATTGGTAACCTGTTTTTAAAGCGTCACCCCTGGAGATTTTTAAGTAGTTTGGCGCCATTCCATGAGCGTGTGCAATTTTAAAGCATGACATGTTGGGTATCTATTTGCTCGGCAGAAAAATCTTTCAGATTTTAGAAAAAATTGGGGTATATATGGTGGGTTTTTTTTTTTTTAATTCATTAAAGTGTATTTTTTTCCCTAAAAAAAATAGCATTTGAGAAATATATACATTTTAAAAATCTGTCCATTTTGGTTTTCGGCCAAGTGCATCCTGAATTTTCGATTTCGGCCCCAGAATTTTCATTTTGGTGCACCACCACTATTATTAATAATAATAGGATATGTTAGTGGCTAGCAATTACATGCATAATTAAAAAAAACAAAAAAAAAAACAAACATCTACCCATTTAAAAGCTTTAGGGTGAGTGACAAGGGAACGTCCGATGGCGCTTTCAAGGTGACCAAGCTGCTCCACCCCCCCCCCCCCCCCCCCCCCCCCCCCCCCCCCCCACAACCCACACATTAATCTGGCCTGCCAGGAAACGCTCGGCTTCCCAGTGCTGGGAATGCTGGTCACCCTTTTCAGATTTTAATTAGAGGGGAAAATCAAAGGAGCCGTAATGATCTGGGACAGGGCGCACGTCATGTAGTCGATGTCACATGCCTGCCGCGACCTTCCTGCCGGACGACATGCGGGCGCCGTTTCTGCGGAGAGTAAAAGGACTCCTGCCCGGGTATGACGGACACAGATGGCTCTTTGTGAAATAACGGGGAAAAGGACGGGGGGCTGTACCAGTCACTGCGTGTGTGCCATGAAGTCATGATAAAGCCATTCGCAAAGAATGTAACCCTTTACAGACCGGAGGAGGAAGAACGACAAAGAGGACCTGTCCTGGCTAGGCATAAAGGATATCCAAAGACAAATGTTTTTTAGTTTTTTTTTTTTTTTTTTTTTTTTTACAAGCATGAAAAAAAAAGGTCAAAACCATCTTCATTTTCTTTGTTTGCTTTTGTTTTTAAATTTCTGGCATCTGTGTCCCACTGGGGAGATTTACCTAAATTTTCTGTCCTGTAGAACAGGAAGTGATAAGTTTCTTTCCAGGGTGACGGAAACCCCCTCTTACGCTCCATTCATACTTGTGCAACTTCAAAATTGTGCTTTTCTCATTCTGACTTCACAGTGCGACTTTGACCAAGGATAAATGTTTGAGCTCTACAAAGTTGCACACAAATTGCATGTATATCACTCAGGTGCGACTTTCATGCGACTTGCGGAGGGTTTACATTGAAGTGAGATGAAAGTTGGACCAAAGCAGTACAGGAACTACTTGGAAGTCGCACAGATATGAATGGTACTCATTGGGAAACATGGGGTACGACTTTGTACACACAACTGTCACGTGTAAATGGGCTCCTGGACAACAGGTGTCCCCATTGGAAGATTTCCCCACTACTCCTGTTCTGGTGACAACTCATAATTCTGGATTGACCCTCCGTTTCATTACCAGTGATATTGGTGACCAAGACATACAAATCTTCCCTAATGGAGTCACAGACAGCACAAAAAAAAGAAAAAAAGGAAAAAATTGACAGGAGCTCAAATCTCTCTTGTATATATATATATATATATATATATTTTATATATATATATATATATAGAGAGAGAGAGAGAGAGAGAGAGAGAGAGAGAGAGAGAGAGAGAGAGAGAGAGAGAGAGAGAGAGAGAGAGAGGGAGAGATGGGGAGATGGGGGAGGGGGGGGAGAGGGAGAGAGATGGGGGAGGGGGGGGGAGGGGGAGAGATGGGGGAGGGGGGGGGGGAGGAGGGAGAGATGGGGGAGGGGGGGGCGAGGGAGAGATGGGGGAGGGGGGGGCGAGGGAGAGATGGGGGAGAGGGGGGGGCGAGGGAGAGATGGGGGAGGGGGGGGCGAGGGAGAGATGGGGGAGGGGGGGCGAGGGAGAGATGGGGGAGGGGGCGAGGGGAGAGATGGGGGGGAGGGGGGCGAGGAGGGAGAGAGGAGGAGGGGGGCGAGGAGAGGGGAGGAGGGGGAGGGAGGAGGAGGGGGGGGAGGGGGGGAGAGAGGGTGGGGAGGGGGGCGAGGAGGGAGAGAGGAGGAGGGGGGCGAGGAGGGAGAGAGGAGGAGGGGGGGGAGGAGGGAGGAGAGGGGGAGGGGGGCGAGGGAGAGATGGGGGAGGGGGGGAGAGGAGGGAGAGAGGAGGAGAGGAGAGAGGGGGGGCTGGAGAGAGGGGAGGGAGAGAGAGGGGGGAGGGGGAGAGAGAGAGAGAAAGAATATATGAATATATGTGAGGGGTTGGAACCCGGCAGTTTTTTGTTTTTTTTTTCGAGCTGTCTGACTCCGTGACTCCGTGTGACTGACACACACACGCACACGCACACGCACGCACGCACGCTCCACACTACATAGAGAACTGTGTATTAGTGCACAATTGTTCCCCATATAGCAATGTGTAGGGACCAGACATGATATATAAATGCCTGTTTGGTCCCTACACATTGCTCTAATGCGCAATAAATTATGGGGAACAATTGCGCACTAACGCACAGTTCTGTATGTAGTGTGGAGCCATTAAAAAACGGACAAAGTGTAAATTTACACTGCGAGCAGGCAAGCTCTTTATTGCATTAACCCCTTCAGTTTGCGTGGCATCCCTTTAAATGGGCTTGAATGCCTGCGGAGGGAGGGGAGGTCTCAAATTACAGGATCACTGTGATTGGATGCCACAGTGGTCACATGATCAGGAGCCGAGGTCCCGCTAACTCCTGATAATTAGAACAGACCAATAGCGTTCGATCTTTGTGCTGGGAGAGAACAATGAGCAGTGACCCGATTACTCTACTCTAATTAAGCAATATAGTAGGGTCACATCCCAGCCCCCTAGCCTGTGATTGGACAGTGAAAGCGCAGCAGAAGACTGGTGAGCTCACCTCTCTTCTAACGCCACTAGTTAGCACATGTGCATACAGCAGAGCTCTGATTGGCTGTTAGCGCTGCCCCTCTATTTACCAGACTGAGTGCTGCAGCACAGAGGATTACAGGAAGCTGATATGAGAACAGAATTGGGTAGTTATGCTAATTCTTTTTTTTTTTTTTTTTTAAATGCACATGCAACTGAGCCAAAATGGTGATTATGTCACCCTGGAGTTCCTCCAAGAAAGCTTCCAAGAAAAATAGAAAACTATTGCACAAGGTTTAACCCATTGCTATCCACCCCCCCACTGAAGTACCACTTTTGGATGGAGTCATCTTACTCTACTAGAAGACACATGACCCCAGTACTCCCATCTCTTCTCCGAGCCCCCCCCCCCAGATGACATGCTGTCCAGGAGACATCGCAGAGACTTTTCCTGCTCGCGGTCAGCTGGAACGTCGCCCACGGTATCCGCGTCCCCTGTGCGGGAGCCTCTCGCTGTTGCCAGGGGTGATAAGAACAGTCTGTCGGTCTGGTTTTGCTCACAGCTCAGCCAGGTTATGTAATCTTATGGAGGTGATGTCAGCCACCCAAATCCCCGTAAGACCTTCCACCATCACTCTAAACATAGCCAGCTGCCAGCGGAGTGATTAGCATTAACCCTTCAGCTGCTGGCACTGCAAACACACCCCGTGCCCCCCCCCCTCCTCCCCCAGCAGCTGGCGGGCACCACACAGATCAGGACCAAACACATATGATTAGGCTTAAAGGGGGAGTCCACCCAGCAATACTACTAATGTGATTGGTAGAAACTGTTGGGTTGAACTTCCCGAGTTCTCCTTTGTTTTTTGAGGACTTTTTGGTGAGATCTCTACGCCGAATTCCCTGCTGTGTCCATTATGAGGGGTTCCCACCACCTCTAAAACTGAGTTCACAGGTCTGTACACCTACTGTGCCCATTATGAGGGGTTTGCACCACCCCTGAACCGAGTTCCCCCAGGTCTGTACACCTACTGTGCCCATTATGAGGAATTCCCACCATCCCTGAGCTGAGTTCCCAGGTCTACATACCTACTGTGCCCATTATGAGGCATTCCTACCATCCCTGAGCCGAGTTCTCAGGTCTGTACACCTGCTGTGCCCATTATGAGGCGTTCCCACCATCCCTGAGCCGAGTTCCCAGGTCTACATACCTACTGTGCCCATTATGAGGCATTCCCACCATCCCTGAGCTGAGTTCTCAGGTCTGTACACCTGCTGTGCCCATTATGAGGCGTTCCCACCATCCCCGAGCCAAGTTCCCAGGTCTACATACCTGCTGTGCCCATTATAAGGTGTTCCCACCATCCCTGAGCCGAGTTCTCAGGTCTGTACACCTGATGTGCCCATTATAAGGTGTTCCCACCATCCCCGAGTCGAGTTCCCACCATCCCTTTGTTGAGTTCCCAAGTCTACATACCTTCTGTGCCCATTAAGAGGGGGTCCCACCATACCTGAACAGAGTTCCCAGGTCTGTATACCTGCTGGGCCCATTATGAAGGGTTTCCACCATCCCTGAGCGGAGTTCTTGGATCTGTATACCTGCTGTGCCCATTAGGCAGGATTCCCACCATCCCTTCTGGTTCTGTATTATATTTTAGATTATGGAGAATATAACATATTCTGAAGAAGACAGACCACACAAAGGTGGGTATGATCACCAAAACTCCCAGGAGGACAGAAGCAGCCTTAAGAACTATGACAGGAAGGTTTGTTGGAGTTCTGAGACATAAAAGAAGCCCAGGGCTGACCCGTCCCCCCATACTCCATCTATCAATAAAATATTGCTTCTTGGTAGGGAGACCCTTTACATGTCTCTTTAGTTTGTGCAAAATGCATTTTTGTGACGCTCTAAATCAGGGGCGGACTGCCCAATCATGGGGCCCCCGGGCAATATGGGATCATGGGGCCCCTGTGTCCTTGCCCAAACTCAAAAAAGCCTATGAAAATGGTACCAGGGGCATCTCATGGGGCCCCCTACTGACCCCGGGCCCTCGGGCAGTGCCCGAGTTTCCAAATGGTCAGTCCGCCCCTGCTCTAAATTCTAATCAATAAAATGCAGCTGTTATTTCAGACGCGGAATTAATTAGGACAGGATCCACCAGACGTTAGGACCTTCATGGAGGCATTCTGAGCCTCATACCTCTGCAATGACACCAGCTCGAGGTCCACTGACACAACCTCCTCCATCAGGTGGAAGCAATTAAAGTTTAGTTTCCCGGGAACGCTGGCCAAGTTGAGCGAAAACAAAAGCGTGTTGGATCTTCATACCGGGCCGGTGGGATTTACACAGCGCTCAGCTGAACCGTGCGCCTCGGGGGGAGAAAAGCACAAATGGAAGGGAAGCGCCCAGCCCTCACAGGAAGCACCCACCCTGCCGCATCAATCACAGACCTAAATAAACGCAGAAGGTGCAATGCAGACAATTAGAGGAACGTGCCAAACGTCACCCACCGAGGACAAAATCCGGACAATACCAGCAGGGGGCCCCACGCCTTACCTTCACTGAAGTGCGCGCTCCTACTCTGAGGGCTCACTCCCACCACGCACACGTGTACATGCAACATTTTGCGTGTTAACCACTTGCCCTCCAGAGGATTTACCGCCCTTCCTGACCAGATAATTATTTATTTCAAGTACTTATATAGAGCCGTCAATTTACACCGCGCTTTACATATATATTGTACATTCACATCAATCCCTAACCCTCAAGGGGCGTACAATCTAAAGTCCCTAACTCACATTCATACATACACATACCAGGGACAATTTAGACAGGAGCCAATTCACCTACCAGCATGTCTTTGGAGGGTATGAGGAAACCGGAGTACCCAGAGGAAACCCACGCAGGCACAGGGAGAACATGCAAACTCCAGGCAGGTGGTGCCGTGGTTGGGATTCAAACCAGCGACCCCAGTACTGCCAGGCGGAAGTGCTAACCATTTAGCCACTGTGCTGCCCAAATATGGGGCTGCTTACTTTAATTAACAATTGCATGGTCATGCAACACTGCACCCAAATGAAATTTATGTCTTTTTTTTTCCACAAATGGAGCTTTCTTTCGGTGGTATTTAATCACCTGTGTGTTTTTAATTTTTTGTGCTATAAACAAAAAAAGACCACCAATTTTATGGGAAAATAAACCAATATTTTTGACTTTTTGCTATTAAACATGTCCAGTAAAATGAAAGAAAAAAAACAAAAAACACAAAATCTAATTTCACCATAAGTTTAGGCCAGAATGTATACTGTTTTTAATATACACGTATTTTCGTTAGCAATTGGCTTACGTGAACCTTATAGCGTCTACAAATGGCAGTATATATAAAAAAACTGGAATTTTTTTCCCCCCTTATACTAGTAAAGGTGGCAATCAGCGACTTATCACGGGACTGCGGTGGGCATACTGACCTTGGGGGGGGGGGGGGGGGGGGCTGTCACTGACATGCCAAGTGACACTAACACATTGATCAGTGCTAATAAAAAGCACTGACACTGTACTAATGGCACTGGGTAGGAAGGGGTTAACATCTGGGGTGATCAACGGGTTAACTGTGTGCAGGGTTTGCTTCACTGTGTAAGCACATTGCTTTGTATGGCTGTGCTATGCAGAGCCATACAAAGCAGTGCGCAGGAGACAGGGGAGAGATCTGTATTGGTTACATACAGATTTCTCCACAGTCAGTGATACTCGGTGATCAACAGGTGCCGGTGAGGAATCACCGGCCGGGACCTGGTGATTGACAGCTGAGGCCGCCAATGGCGGCACGCGCCCCCTACCCAGAAATGTGAAATCACGTATATACACACACACACACGATTTTGCGCAGCCCTACAGCAGTATTTTTGCTATAGGGCGGCAACTAAGTGGTTAAAATATATGCATGGGCACACTATTACCGACCAAGGCACTTAGAAATCTGCTCAGCCAGTCTTGTAATTCACTACCTGCTTCTTATGAATGTTACTGCAGAGAAGCAATACAGACTGGTCCAGGACCTGCCCCCAGGCTGTTGGACAAGAAAAAGAAAAAAGTAGCAGCATATTTAGGAAGTCAACTGCTCTTTCCTCCTGTATGCGTGTTCACAGTGTTAGACCAGCAGGGCTGTGTTTGACTTTCCTTCTTCCAGTACTGCTGTGCACAAGATACAGGGGGCTCCACTCAAGACTAATTTAGCTACTTATTTTGGTTGTGTGAAAACAAATGTAATGATTATTAGGTGGCTTTTATATCCGCCCGGAGCTTTAATTCCAGACGCAAAATCATTCCAGACAAGAGCCAATGTCCTTCTCCCGACACAGCCATTCGTCCAATGGGGCGTCAGCTAGGAAGGGTTAGATAAAGGACATCCTGACTACTTGGCAGTCAGGCTTTGTCCATCATCAAGATGCTTGGGAAAAAAAAAAAAAAAAGTAATATTTTCTCCTTGATTACAAGCATCTGGACAATTATAAAGGGCGTCGCCTAGTGGGAACAGACAGCATGCAAAGCAATGGCGGGACGGGGACTGTGCTCGGAGCTACAAAGATTGGACCGGTCCTTGGCTCATACACACAATGGATTAAGGCAGAAACCATGTTGCTGTAAAAAATTAAACCACTTAATGCCGAAAAATAATTTGGATAAACAGATTAACTGTGCACAGGAGTTAAAAACAAAAACAAAAAACAGAACAATGCATATACAGGTGAAACTCAAAAAATTAGAATATCGTCCAAAAGTTCATTTATTTCAGTAATGCAACTTAAAAGGTGAAACTAATATATGAGATAGACTCATTACATGCAAAGCAAGATAGTTCAAGCCGTGATTTGTCATAATTGTGATGATTATGGCTTACAGCTCATGAAAACCCCAAATCCACAATCTCAGAAAATGAGAATATTGTGAAAAGGTGCAATATTCTCGGCTCAAAGTGTCCCACTCTAATCAGCTAATTAAGCCATAACACCTGCAAAGGGTTCCTGAGCCTTTAAATGGTCTCTCAGTCTGGTTCAGTAGGAATCACAATCATGGGAAAGCCTGCTGACCTGACAGTTGTACAGAAAACCATCATTGACACCCTCCATAAGGAGGGAAAGCCTCAAAAAGTAATTGCAAAAGAAGTTGGATGTTCCCAAAGTGCTGTATCAAAGCACATTAATAGAAAGTTATGTGGAAGGGAAAAGCGTGGAAGAAAAAAGGTGCACAAGCAGCAGGGATGACCGCAGCCTGGAGAGGATTGTCAGGAAAAGGCCATTCAAAAGTGTTGGGGATTTTCACAAGGAGTGGACTGAGGCTGGAGTCAGAGCATCAAGAGCCACCACACACAGACGGATCCTGGACATGGGCTTCAAATGTCGTATTCCTCTTGTCAAGCCGCTCCTGAACAACAAACAACGTCAGAAGCGTCTTAGCTGGGCTAAAGAAAAACAGACCTGGTCTGTTGCTCAGTGGTCCAAAGTCCTCTTTTCTGATGAGAGCAACGTTTGCATCTCATTTGGAAACCAAGGACCCAGAGCATAGAGGAAGAATGGAGAGGCCCAAGGACCCCGAGTATGGAGGAAGAATGGAGAGGCCCAAGGACCCCGAGTATGGAGGAAGAATGGAGAGGCACACACTGCAAGATGCTTGAAGTCCAGTGTGAAGTTTCCACAGTCTGTGTTGATTTGGGGAGCCATGTCATCTGCTGGTGTTGGTCCACTGTGCTTCATTAAGTCCAGGGTCAACACAGCCATCTACCAGGAGATTTTGGAGCACTTCATGCTTCCTTCCGCAGACGAGCTTTATGGGGAATGCTGACTTCATTTTCCAGCAGGACTTGGCACCTGCCAACACTGCCAAAAGCACCAAAACCTGGTTCAATGACCGTGGGATTACTGTGCTTGATTGGTCAGCAAACTCGCCTGACCTGAACCCCATAGAGAATCTATGGGGCATTGCCAAGAGAAAGATGAGACATGAGACCGAACAATGCAGAAGAGCTGAAGGCCGCTATTGAAGCATCCTGGTCTTCCAAAATACCTCAGCAGTGCCACAGGCTGATAGCTTCCATGCCACTCCGCATTGAGGCAGTAATTGCTGCAAAAGGGGCCCAAACCAAGTACTGAGTACATATGCATGCTTATACTTTTCAGAGGTCCGATATGTACAATCCTTGTTTTATTGATTGCATGTAATATTCTAATTTTCTGAGATTGTGGATTTGGGGTTTTTATGAGTTGTAAGCCATAATCATCACAATGATGACAAATCACGGCTTGAACTATTTTGCTTTGCATGTAATGAGTCTATCTCATATATTAGTTTCACCTTTTAAGTTGCATTACTGAAATAAATGAACTTTTGCACCATATTCTAATTTTTCGAGTTTCACCTGTATACTATACGTACAGCTGGCCCAAGTGCCTAAATCCATCTTAAAAAGACCAACAAAGCATGCTCCACAGCATCATCAGGGGGCTGGTGGTTTCTGTTTCTTGCAGCCAGCCCCCGATGATGCGCAGTTGCGTGTGTGTTTGTCATAAGAGGACCATCTGGAAGAACCGTGAAGGCCCATTTAGGACAAGGTGTTT